ACGTACGAGATGTGCTGCTTGTACGTAAGTTGAGAATCCAGAATAACACCCAGATCTTTCACATGGTTCACACGGTCGATTACAGTGCCGATAAGTTTGTATTCAAATGTGATTGGTTCTTTCTTCCGAGTAAAAGTGATCACTGAACACTTAGTGGGTGGGGCTAACCACCATTCGGTTCAAATTACACCAGCTGGCAAAGGCTTCGAACTGACGTTGAAGGAAGTGACAGTCATCAATCGAGCGGATTCGTAGGTAGATTTTAAGATCGTCTGCATACGATAGTCGTGGGCCTTCGATGACCAAGTTCACGTCATTGAAGTAGAGTAAGAAAATCAAAGGTCCCAGGTGACTTCCTTGAGGTATTCCTGACGTATCTAGATATATATTGGACCGGTTGTCACCAATGGCAACCATCAGTTGCCGATCAGTGAGATATAAACGAAACCATCGCAAGAGGTTGCCGCTGACCCCAAGTCTATGCAACTTGGCAATCGCGATGGCATGGTTTAGCTTATCGAAGGCAGCTGCCAAGTCGGTGTATATGACGTCTGTTTGAGTCCTCTCTGCCATGCTTTCCGTAAGATACGATGTCAAACACAGCAGATTTGTGGAAGTAGAACGACTGGAAGTGAAGCCGTGTTGATCACCACTTAGATACTGCTTACAATGAGAGAGTCTTACAAGAATCGGCACCCGTAGATCCAAGCTATACACAATGCGGCTAATAACAACCTTCGATTTGCCTGGATACCCGGACACTTCGAAATAGCTGGAAACGAAACCGCTGTTCATCTGGCGTCCATCGGTGGGGAGTTAAATTTTTATACCAATGAAACGCCTGCTGCCGAAGTCAAAACATGAGTTAAAGCGATCATCCAAGATGCTTGGACCCAAAGCTGGTAACAAGAAAGATGGCTATTTTTGCGAAAGGTGAAAGGTGACATCAAAAAATGGACCGATCAGCCCCGCGGGAGAGACCAACGAACCCTATCGCGTCTAAGAACGGGTCACACTCGAGCCACCCACGATTATTCCATAGACAGGCACAAACGGTGCGAGATATGCCAGACAGAACAATCAGTAGAACACATACTTGTGAATTGTCCCAAGTATGAGGATCATCGACGTCTGTATGGTATCCACGCTGGAGTGCGAGACGTTCTATGTAACGATCCCTCATACGAATCTGCCTTGCTGTGCTTCCTGAAAGACACCGAACTCTACACACAAATTTGAAAAACTTATCTTCTGTCCACGCTATGAGGACTTACCATTTCACAACTGATCATCCTGCAAACACCTAACGGACTATTATCCAAATATCAATATTGTTATCATCATCACATCAACCCCATTTGCCAAAGTTTAACGGATTACGATTTTGTTTAACATTTTTATAATATGTATAATATGCCATGCACTAACTACTGTAACTATTTATTATTCAATTGCCAAGGGGGGCCTCTCTGGATCTTTCAAACGACCTCTCCATGTTACCATTAAACGGGAGATGAACCAGCCTGCAGCTGAAAATCTCGATAATAAAGACATAAAAAAAATAATCGCGTCAAGACAGCTTTCCTACACGGAGAACTAAAAGAAGATCTCTATATGGAAATCTGGCAGCGTATGCAAGCTACAGAGGTCTACTGGAACGAACGTTTCAACTCAACCCTGCTGAAGCTTGGATTTCATCGATCCAGACATGATTCCTGCCTCTATGTCTCTTCACGTAAAGATGATGAAATCTACCTGTTGCTTTACGTGGATGATGTTATTACCGTTTTCCGAAGAGTTCAGTATGACCTATTGCGGTGAAGCAAAGTTTTTCTTGGGAATACTAGTCAACTAAGACCCGGAGCAAAGTGTACTGATGCTGTTACAACTTACAAGAAGTTACTGCCATCAATATTCTGGAGAAGTTCGGAATGTTGGACTGCAATTCCACCAAAAGCCCAATGGAGAAAGGACTTCAGCTGAGCCGTGACAGAGACCGTACCATATCGGGAGCTACTGGGTAGTTTGATGTATAAAATGCCATGTGTCGGCTTTATGGGACGGTTTCAGCAAACACCAATGGAAACTCACTGGCGAACACTGAAGCGGATATGCAGATACCTGAAGGGAACAAGCGCTACGGGTCTACGCTTCAAGAGGAATGAATAATCAGACTACTTGTCGGATTCGTAGATGTGGACTGTGCAACTGATATAGAAGACCGCAAGTCAGTAACGGTTTTCCTGTTTAAGGTGTATGGCTTAACGGTGTCTTGGGCCAACCGCAAATAGCCTACTGTTTCTAGATCTTCAAGCGAAGCAGAATACGTTGCTTTAAGTGCAGCTGTTTCTGAAGCAGTTTGGTTAGCCGGAGTTCTAGAAGACATCAACAGATCCTGTCACACTATACTAAGATAACCGAGGCTGCATAGGACTAGCCAAGAATGCTGAATCTAAGTGGATTAAGCACCATTTCACCAGGGATCATGTGACAGCTGGGATTATCAAATTAGAACCAATGTCTACCCCTGAGCAGCAGGCAGATCTCTTCACAATAGCTTTAGATGTTTCACGGTTCCAATACCTCAGAAGCAATATTGGAGTCACCGATTGAGAGGTTGGTGATCAAGTCATCGGTGTTCAACGAGGACCGTTCATCACAGCAACCCAAGTTTTTTTCTGACGTACTGGAGGTGTTATTTTTTGTGTCATTCCCAACTCAACATCCATCCTTACCAGACGTTCAATAAACTAGTTATAAAATAAAACTGATCCTGTCCTGGCTATCGAGAAATACGGCCCTCAATAAAAACATAAACACTGAACTGACAGAATACACTTGAAGGCTGACTAAAAGTAAATTGGTACGCACAAAAAGTCCTGTAATTCGTGATTCAATAAGTTTAAAAAGTCCATTAATGGTTGCTTTTCAGATTAGATGGTTACATTTCTCCAGTTCGAACGAAATCTCGATCTCTCGAAATCTCTTGATGGAGCCCATCAGCGCCCGCACAGTGGAAACAGACACGGAATCAGCGCATTTCTTCCATTTTGTCCGCATTTGCTGGATATCATTGACTGCCCCGCCGCTTCGTCGAAGTCGCTGCTTTGAAATTACCCAGTATTTTTTGATTGGTCGAAGTTCCGGGCAATTCGGAGGATTCATTAGCTTGGGGACAAAATCGATCTTGTTGGCAGCATGCCACTCCAGAACCACCTTGTAGTAGTGGCAGCTGGCCAAATCGGACCAAAACATGACTTTGCCCCTATGCTTGCGGATGAACGGCAATACACGCTTTTTCAGGCATTCTTAGATGTAAACTTGGGATGTCATCGTCGAGGATGTGACGAATGGTTCCGTGTTCAGGGCACAACTGCAAATCACTTGCCAAAGCATGGCTTTCTTCGCGAACGGGTCGGCAAACACGAACTTGAATCTTCACGGCACATCCCTACGTCCATTTGCGATGTAATACTTTTGACCTGGAAGTTGTTTAAAATCGAGTTTGACGTAAGTTTCGTCATCGATCAAAATGCAGACCTTGTGATTCGTCAAAACACGGTTGTACAAGAGCCTTGCACGCTTTTTGGCCACGGAATTCTGCTTCATGTGCCGGTTTGGGTGTTTGCTGGCTTTGTACAACTAGAATTCCCTGGCAAGGATGTTCCGCGGTCTGTGGATCCGCACCGTTTGAAAGTTGGCGTTGTACCTTCTGGCCACATCTCGGATCGAAAGACCGGGGTTGGCTTTAACGCACCTCAACACCTTGCTGCGCAGCTGACGATCCCTGGTTCCAGTTTTTTTCGTTGATTCCTTTCCACAATCAATACTAGAGGCCTGCGGGGGGCGTACCAATTTACTTTTAGTCAGACTTTATAACTGATTTCAATACCTTCATGCAAGCAAAATACACTTTTATTTTTCTAAGACACAGAAAATTACATACATTCAAAAAATGCAACATAATACATGTCTACACAAAATACACGTTTATTCGATAAAAAATTCTTCAATACGTTGGCCTGAATCGAAAAGACACTAGTGAATCGCCCCTCGGCTTACCGCAGCATTGTTCGAGCCGTTTCCTGGACAAATTCCGGAATTCAATAACCGATCTGAGCAATAATTATCGAATTATTCTATTTTGTTCACAAACAAGACTGACGCCTAATAAGGCAGTAAACGTAAAGTCCTCTAAGGCTTTGTCCCGATTGGCGAGTTAAATTTAACTCGTGGTTAAAAGTGACATTTCGAACGTTATTTCCAATTTTTGAAAATCCCTGTGCTGTCAATCGACTGGTTTTCGAGAAGAATTCAGCTTCTTAAATTGCAAAACGTTGTAAAGTCAATCCTCGATGAACACTTCAAATGGTCCTATCTGCTTTGATCGATTCTCTTCATTGACTTTCTCTTTTGATAACCACTGCTTTGCGAACAGATTTCGCGCTAATTTTAGCTCATAGTTTGATGAAGGAGGTTCTTATCTAGCGTCCAAAACGTCAAATACAACAGATAAAGGTTTTGCAGTTGAGTTATTAACGAAAGAGGAAGTCAATGAAGACAATCGATCAATGCAGATAGGACCTTCTGAAATGTTTACCTAGAATCACTCAGTCAAAAAATCGGGCAAAATCGTGAATGTATCTAGTACATAATTCGAAATAAACTTCATCTTAGCCTACGAAATGTTCCCTATTTTTGGTGAACGCTTTTGTCTCTCTCTAGGAAACGTCGAAAAACATAAACTAACAGGACACCCACATTTTGCTATCACACAACTCAACTCAAAATGGCAAATAGAGCAAACCGCAAATGTATGAGCTCGAATGATGATGATGAATGATAGCTTAATAAATAATTCCAGAAGATGAAACCAACGATTATATGCAACGATAATGTAAGAGCGACGATGTAATGTAGCAGACTTGTTGTAGTAAGAAGTAGTAATAGAAATAATGGAAGAAGTAGAAATTTTATCTTATAGATCGTGTTCTAATTACCTACGAGCCAGTTGGTGGCCGTCAGTGTGATCGTCGGTCGACCAAGCAGATGGTGCCAGCTAATGCTGAGGAACGCGAGTATGTCCATGAAATTGCTGACCAGCAATGATGGATCGCGCGACATATAGTACTCGTCATGGTCAAAGATCTAGAGGACCGAACAACCACATTTCGGGTCGGATCAGTGCGGTAAGTTCAGTGAGTGGAAAGCCATCACCATATGTAAACCATGTTTGTTGTTTGATGTTTGTTTCGAATGTTTTTGAGTGATGTTCAAATTTACATTTGGGTGCCGCCAATTTTGAAAAGAACAAAAAAGAGAGAAAGAGAGAAAGATACTGCCAATTAAAAGGATAAACAACTACCAAATTTCGGGGATCGATCGGTCTGCACGCGTGTCCTCCAGTTGTAGCGAATATTCAGCGTTGACATCTTGTTTGGCGATATTTAATACGATGTTGTCGAAGAGCGGTTTCGACTGGCGAAAGACTGAAAAACTGCAAAACCCTTTCTAACAAAGCGCACTACTTAGGAGAAGCAAAAAATTAGGTATGTGCCATATGCTAATATGATCTAGATAAGAAGCAAAGGATGGAAGAGGAATAGAAGTAGGTATACACGCATGCTTCCCACGCGGCAAAGAAAAGCGAAAGCCAAACAAAACGACTACCATCTAGTTTCTGCGTAGGTTTATATACAGGAAGTATCAAAGAACAGAAAAGGTTACAGGTTTAGAAACATGTATCAACAGAGGAAATCAGTGAATAAGAGTAATCATAGCACAGTGAAAATACAAATTGAAACGAAAATAATAGTATAAATACAGAAAAGAAATGAAAAGAGAAATTATACATAGATATACAGAGCTTTTTAGAGAGAGGGGGAAATGGACGCATAATCGAAAAGATGATATGAGCTATATACGGTTCGCGGAGCACCGACCTAGATGTACGTTTTTCAGCGTCATCGTCAGCAGAGGCCGACCGAGGAGATTCTGCCAGGCCGATTTGAGAAAGTTGATCTCCCCCTTCAGCAGATCGATCATCAGTTCGTTGTCCGAGGCAATGTAGAAGCGGTTCACGTCGGAGAACTAGATACAGGTGTACGGGACGAGGAAGTAATAAAACTATGTGAACAAAATATCTAAAGCTAGCCCTCACGGAAGCGCTGCAAAAAACGGGGGGTTAAACTCCAAACGGTGTGGTGTGGGCGTAGCAAAATTCGTTCATATGTTAAGAAGGAGACGGAGAGAAGTGTTGCAGAGCCCAACCGACACTTACCTGGGGAGTGAAGGCAAAGATGCGGTCCTTGAGCGAGTACAGCTTGCTGGTACTGAGGATACCGACGTCCCGGGATTTACGACCGCTTAGGCCGAGTTTCTTATTCCGACCCAGATAGGTGTACAGATGGCTGAGAACTCTAGCCGGTTGGACTTCGATCGGGGCAACGTCGGCGATGGTTTGCACGTGAATGCCATGCTCGGCCAGCTTATCTCGGATATCGTTGTCCTCGGCCAGGATGACCACCTGGACTACCACGTCCGGTTTCTTCTGCGCGCCCAGTCGACGATTCAGTGGATCCAATTCACCAACCGCCAAAAACCCCTAAAAGCAATTTCAATTAGATTCGATCATTCGCTTGTCTACTCCAAAACTCACCTCCTGAAGTAATTTGCCCAAAATGTACAACGATTGACCCCAGAGGAAGGGGCACCGTCCGACGACCATCCTTTGTTGTGAACCCGGATTTTTATACTCGGCCGCAACCACCTCTCCCGGCACTGCGTACAACTCCGGCACCAATCGCATGCCTTCCTCGGTTTTGACCAGAATTTCCTCCAACTTCATCGAATACTCGGACACGGAATCCTTATCGTTCTGGAACTCCTTGTTCAGAATCAAATAGCAAAAGAACAGAGGCCATTCGCACTCGATATTCTCAAACATTCGCAGCTCCCAGCGCTCGTAGTACAGCCGGGTATTATCCTCCTTCGGAGTCTTGTAACCATCGCGAAGGAAGCGTTTGCAACCGAACCGTCCCTGAAGCCGAGTCACAATCGCATCCTGAGTCGATTCAATCAGCTGCGGATCATCGCAAGCAAAGGCAGGAAATCCAATCACCGACAGCAGTCCAGCATCCAACTCTTTGCTGTTCGATTCCCTTGGCAGCATCGACTGCAGCACCGCTTGACACTTGTGAGCCTCATCTGCCAGCACATGAATCACACTTCCGGAACCGCCACGGGCTCCAAACAGATCCAGCTCATTCATAGCCTCCAGAGCCGCTTTGGCCATCCCGATCGAACTGGCATTCAGTTCCGTCTGACCATGGTTCGACTTATCACCACGCTCCCAGATGCCATAATCCGGAATACAGTAAGCCGACTCAATGTAGAATACTAAATTCTGAATAAAAGACACCTCATCTAGCGAAAACACGATCTGCAGCCCAGAAGCAGTCATCTGAGCCAAAATCAGCAAATACAACGAAATGGCATCAATCTGCAAGTGACCCCACTCTTCGTCGCCCACCACGGGCTGGCCGTTCTTGCTCGAATACTTGGCATGCAAGGAATCCAACGGATTCTGAGTCGTCTTGAACCGTTCGACCTTGTCCTTCTGGTTCATCATGGCCATCAGGAGACCCCGCATCAGTTTCACACAGCACTGCTCCAGCTCGTACGCCTTGGCACGGTCCTCGTCCTGATCGGCAATCTTCTTGTATGCCATCGACAAGCCCCATACGGCCAAGATGCAGTAGACATTGTCACGAATCTAGAAGCAGAACAAAAGCAAGGGCGTTAAACGATATGACCTTGAGACGTACCGGCACGCAAATTGCAGTGCTGCCAAAGGTGTACTAAAACTCCAAAATGTTGCCGTTTATCCCCAACCCAGCGCTAGGCACCATCCTAAAGTTACATCAATTTTGAATTCTGTGCCAACTTTGGAGAAGAAACGAATTTTCTGTGTGCAAAACCTTATCAAACTTAACAAAGCAAACTATCGGTACGTCTTACAGTTTGTCCGCCAGTTCCTCTACCCGTTTGGCAGCGCTGCGTAGAACATTATCGTATATATACATTATATATGTAATCAGTCTTAATAATAAAAAGCATTTGAAAAGCAACAAGCCAGTTGTAACGGATGGAAAAACCGGACCTCATTCCCTTTTCACTTCCGATTACCTACCCAGGCGTGCTGTGTTTGTGGGCTGGCGGGGAATAAACCGGTGACCGGCTGCTGATGGGACATGATCAGACGATGGACGATCCGCTGGTAATAGTCCAGCCGGACGCCCGAATTGCTGCGGCTTCTCATTTTCTCGAATTCGACAAATCTGCAATCATAAAAAAAAACTATAAATAATTGAAAAAATACTTTCCAAGGAAATGCCTACCAATAAAACACTAAATTTGATACTTCCTCCTGCAAGCCACTAGGAAGAAGACACCTACGGAGTGCACCTCAAGTAAAGTAACTTTGTATGCGATGCACACAGGAAAAGAAAAAAAAAACGTCCAACAAATTTTAATCGAACTTTTCACGCGCTTATCCTGTTCGAACGGGACGAATTTTACGGTGCTCCAGCAGTGGGTCACTCTTGCACTACCGGGGAAACTTTTCAGGGCCGGTTTCACTCCGGGAAAAACGAAATCAAAATGTATATTCCCCAGTGCAACTTGGGACGACTGGGCCTCCCGCAGTTACGATGATGATGTTCTGAGCGAAAAAACGAGCCTAGAATGTCACTTGAATGTCAATTCAATCATCTGGCTGGTGATGGGGCTTCGCGAGATGGCGTTGCAGTGGAAGAAGTTTGTGCGGGCGAGTTGTTGTGGGTGGAAGGGGCCAGACAAAGGGGAGAAGCGTTCTTTTGTTGTTTCTTGTTTTGTGCTCGTCATTCGCTGTGCGGGGTAGGAATGCGATCATAAAAATGTAAACATTTCGTTAAGAATTATGTTCAGCTGGGGCTACACCACGCAGGACATGTGCTCCAAGGCGGCAGAAGGACAAAGGTGTGCCGGAGAAAAAAAGGCTCTCGAAAAAAAGTTAAGGCTGTGAACCATTTGCCGAGATAAATTAAAATTATTCAAAGGCCTGTATCGAGATCAAAACCAAGTGAAAATCTCATATTGGTTGTTCATCAACGGGAAAATATAATTAACCACTTCATTCGAGCAGTTAAAATGACGTTTACTACACTCTTAATTCAGATCACCGAAGTCGGTAGTATTTTACCGGGTTTTTGAACAGCAGAACAAGTCGGTAAAATTTTCAAATGACCGTTACATGTGAGAAATCAAGAAAATTTCTAGTTTTTATTTTTCATCAATATATGAGGTTAACTGAACAAATTCTGTACAAGTTTGGAATAAATTTTGTAATAATTGGGTTTTTCACTGATTTTTAAACTTTAACCGAACAGTTCTGTAGTTCAAAATTTACCCAACGACGGAGGCCTGGATTAGTGTGTACCACTCGAACTTTGAAATAAAACATAATAATAATATTTTGAGATTTTTTCTTCTAGAACCACGAGAAAAGTAGCCAACATTTGTGCGTTTCATAAAAATAGAAATTAGTTGGTCCAATTTTGTGAAATCGCAGGTAGAAATTCACGCCAAAACTGCTTGACAAAGTGGTCAATTTTCTTCGCTTGGAACTGTAAACGGATACGATCCACACGCTATTCTGAATCTACCCAGTAGATGGCACCCATTCTTGTATCTACACAGCAAAAAAAGTTGTTGAAGCTGCTGCAACCAGGTCAATCCATCGGTTGTGTAATATCACATTGTACAATGCGAGGTACAATGTACATCGATTTTGCGAACAAAATTACATCCATTGATGTTATATTGTATCTGTGTTTTGCTATTACATCATTATTTCATACATCAGCTTGAATTACGTTGATCGATATAACATTTTTTTTTGCTGTGTAGTATAAGGAGTTTTCAAAATCTGGGTAAACTAGTTTTTTTCTGATGAGTAGAATCTCATCCATCATCTAATCTAGTTTTAATGCTTAAAATATAAAAATCTGATGCTAAAAAATGTAGATATGGAACTGTTTTCATGACGAGTGCTATCAGCAGCTAAAGTTAGTAAGTATCACCGACAAACCGACATGAATGACCATAGCAAAAACAATAAAATTTCTAACCAAAGCACACTACTGACATGAACCCGCATGCAAAAGTTATGGAGGTAACCCATTCGTTGTCAACAGAAGCGTGCAAAATGGCAATACAAGTTTTGTTGCTCGGCGAGGATCACCTTTGGAGTTCTATTCGGATAATGGAACTAATTTTCATGACACGAAATGAATTGATGTCACAGATGGATCAAGGGGATATAGCTGAATCGTTTACCAATGTGAATACTAAGTGGATATTCAATCCTCCTAAGGCTCTCCATATGGGCGGGGCATGGGAACGAATGGTTAGGTCAGTAAAAACCGCTCTGGAAACCATCCCAACAAACATTGGAAGCGGAATAGGAGCTTATTCAGGAAAAAATATACTTCTTCGACTACAAAATGGCTTATTCAGCCATTAATCAGCTCAAATTGTTTGTTGGGATGCCTGCGTTTTGAAAACCAAACGATGAAACATTGACTACAGTGATAACTGATGCAGAATCCATAGTTAATTCTCGTCTACTGACATCCCTAATAAAAATTGTATGGTTAATTTGCTTAACGACGTGTTCTGGGTATCATCCAAACCATTTGTGGAATAGTTCAATGATTTGGGTTATCATTCGTTTATGGTTATTTTTTATTAGGGATTCGTTCCCTTGGATTTGGATGACCAAGAAGCAATCACACCTAACCATTTTCTTTTGCTCAGTTTTTACTGGAGTCAAACAACCTTCAAAAGTGTTCACATAGAGCTTTTTGACGTTTAATCGGTACACACTAATGCAGCATTTAAATTGAAGGAGTGCGAGCAAGAAAGAAACAGATTAGTGGGAAAACAAACCATCCATTTATCCCTGTGTGCTAGATAGAGAAAAACAATTAAACGTCAAAAAGGTCTATAGGACAAGCTTGCTTTGAGGAGAGACTAGGAGCTGGGACAGAACTTGGTGGATTATTTTTGGAGGCGTTGAGTACAAGAGAATCTACCTTCACTTACTCGTCGGACAAAGTGGTTCGACGATACTAAGCCTGTGGAGTTGGGTGATCTTGTGGTCATTAGACTGATGCAAAATTTGAAATTTCCGCTCCACAGTGCTTAAGGGGAAGCAGACCGCTCCGAAAAAAAAAATTACGTTTTGATTTTTCTAAAAATATTGAAAAAAAAGTATCAAAAATCTAAAAAAATCACATTTCTTCTAATTTTTTAAAGAAAATTCACGTGCAAAAACATGTTTTATAAGTCATTATGGCATAAAGTTGGACTCAAAATACCACAAAACATCAACTTTTTGGTTTTTCTGAGAGTCCAATTTTTTTTCATGATGGGATAGAAAAAAATTTTTTGCATGTAATTTTTGACAAAAATCTAAGGAAGAAACTGATTTTCTTGGATTTTTGATATTTTTTCCCAATATTTTTAGAAAAATAAAAACGTACCGAAAATATTTTTTTTATTTTTGGGCCGGTGAGCTTTCCCTTACGGTTCCAAATTGGGTCCTGATTAGCCTCCCAAAATTTGAACTCATTTAGTGAGAAACTGACTTGGCACAAACCATTTGAAGTTTATATGGGAATTACTATGAAGAACCCATAATTTTGGTTCATATCGATCTCAAAATTCCCCAGTTCACTCTACTTTAGAAAATGATAGCTGAGCTTGTTGAAAAGACCACTTTTCGATCAAATGTAAGGAACAAAAAATATTAATGATTCAAGTCACTGATGTCTTATGATTATGCTCAATCAACTGTTCAGCAGGCAACATTGGTGTTTATGGCGCGTAGAATTGAGGACAAAAATCATGGCTACTATGTCACACTGCAGAATACAGTGTTGCCCACAATACAGTTGCTTAATCTTGCCATAAGATTATCAATCTCTTAAACAATTAATAACTATTTAATTTGACGTTTGGCTGAAAAACGATTTTCTGCAAAGTTGTAGCTGATATGAATTCCCATAAGAATAGCAATAGAATTTTTTTAACAGTACAATATGTAAAAAGGCCAGAAGACAATGAACAAAAAGTTTTGTTTTCCCATAGTAATTTCCATATAAACTTCAAATGGTTTGTGCCAAGTCAGTTTCTTATCAAATGAGTTTAAATTTTCGGAGGCTAATCAGGACCCGATTTGAAACCGTTTGAACACTGTGGAGCGAAAATTTCAAATTTTGCATCAGTCTAGTGGTCATTGTAGGTGAGAAAAAGCGAAATGATTGGATAAGAGGACGAATTGCTAAGGTGATCACAGTGGCAGATGGACGAGTATGACAAGTAGAAGTACAAACAAACAATGGAATACTAAAGCGCCCGGTTTTCAAGGTAGCAGTTTTGGAAGTCTTGGGTAAAACTGGAGCAGGGAACCAGTGTTACGGGTCGGGGAATGTTACATTACATCGACAAATCCATCGCAGTATAGAAGACTGGAACGAAATCGCTGAATGCTACGTAGAGATCTGCGGCTTGACTCGGAGTGGAAACCGCCATTTTGCAAAAGTTTGAGTGAACAGGAAACACGTTGATTATATTGCGTTTATTATTCGCCTTTTATTATTATTTACGTTTGGAAATAATGAGAAACTAAAATGGTAAGATCGATGTTACAACACAGAGCTCATGTAACTAAATTTTGTATTTTCTTAAATATAGCTTTGAAGCAACTCCAACCAAACCTATGCGAGTTCAACACACTTATTACATTTAGGTAAACACTTTATTGAACGATTAATACTACATTTATTACACTATCTACTCCTAATAATTTATTCTGTGACCAGCCGTGCCCAAATACTATTTGATAACTAATCCTAAATCACCATCGTTAAGGCCCAAGCGCAATGACAGCGGAAGCGGAACGGCAGCCGCAGCGGAAAAGCCCGATCTGAGTAAACTTTCCGTTTCCGTTCCGCTTCCGCCCACATTGCGTTTGGGCCTTTAGTTTCCACCGGTTGACTGTACTCTAAAGGGTGATACGGTCAAAATTTGGTCAATATCAACTTGACGTATTTCTTTCAATTTTGCATTTAAAAAACCTGAACACCCCTCATTTTGAAGGTGTGTGTGTGTAGAATGTTGCTCCTATTTTGATTTTGGAATTCACTCTTCAGTTGTCAAAATGCCGTCCAAGCAAGAAGAGCAGCGTATCAAAATTTTGCTCGCGCATCGCGAAAAACCGAGCTACTCGCACGCAAAGTTGGCAAAATCGTTAAAAGTTGCCAAATCAACCGTTACAAATGTAATTAAAGTGTTTGGGGAACGTTTGTCGACAGCCAGGAAGTCTGGATCGGGGGGAAATCGAAGACCGGAAGCCGCTGAGACGACAAAGAGAGTTGCCGGTAGTTTCAAGCGAAACCCTAACCTCTCTCTCCGAGATGCCGCAAATAAGCTGGGTGTATCGTCTACAACCGTGCATTGAGCCAAAAAACGAGCCGGACTATCGACTTACAAGAAGGTAGTGACTCCAAATCGCGATGATAAACAAAATACGACGGCCAAAGCGCGATCCCGGAGGCTGTACACGACGATGCTGACGAAGTTTGACTGCGTGGTAATGGACGACGAAACCTACGTCAAAACCGACTACAAGCAGCTTCCGGGACAGGAGTTTTATACGGCAAAAGGAAGGGGAAAGGTAGCAGATGTTTTCAAGTACATGAAACTGTCAAAGTTCGCAAAGAAATATCTGGTTTGGCAAGCCATCTGTACCTGTGGCTTGAAAAGCAGCATTTTCATAGCTTCCGGGACTGTCAACCAAGAAATTTACGTGAAAGAGTGTTTGAATAAACGTCTGCTGCCTTTCCTGAAGAAACACGGTTGTTCCGTACTGTTTTGGCCGGATTTGGCATCTTGCCATTACGGTAAAAAGGCCATGGAGTGGTACGCCGCCAACAACGTGCAGGTGGTTCCCAAGGACAAGAACCCTCCCAACACGCCAGAGCTCCGCCCAATTGAGAAATACTGGGCTATTGTCAAGCGGAACCTAAAGAAGACCAAAAACTGCTAAGGGCGAGCAGCAGTTCAAGGCAAACTGGCTTTCTGCGGCGAAGAAGGTGCACAAGGTGGCTGTACAAAATCTGATGGCAGGGGTCAAGCGTAAGGCCCGGCAATTCGGATTTGGAAAAGCGGAAGCCTAACTGAATATTTTTCCTGAATTTTATACTAATTGAACTTGAAAAAGAAATTTAATTTGATTTTTTAAATAAACGATTTCACCGATTTACACGCGTTTTCCCTTGACCAAATTTTGACCGTATCACCCTTTATTTTACTGAGTTTCATTCAGTCACCGTAAAGCTGTTATTTCCCGGTAAATTCAGTACTTGCTATTACCGTAGAGGTAACTCTAAGACTAGAAGGTCCCGAAATAACGTGCTCAACTTTTTGGCTCAGCTCTGGTACTCTCTTCGGTCCCAAGCTAATCGATTCACCCCTCGAAACATAGGAAAAACCAATAACCCCTAATTTTATCTGTCAAACTTTCATAGCAAATCAAAACAAACATTGCGTAGTACTATAATTTCGACTAGAATGGGGTACGTTAATCGTTTGCTTGGGACCAATAGGCTAATCAAGTAGTGAGCCAATTCAAAATCGTTAGTTTCGTATTGATTGTTGCTATTACCTCTATGGTTCTACCTCGCTTACTTGACAACGGAAATATCCTCGTGAAAATAGCAAACCATTGTGACAATTAATGAAACATCTGGAAGAAGCCACAATATTGGGCAGTTTCTGCACTTCTGCATCGACTTCCAGATGTTTCATTTTGAAGCAAAACCATTCAATACAATTGCCTCATCTACAGCTCCAGACAGACTTAGGCATGCAATCCAGCACACCGAGAGTGCTACGATCCGGTCGAATCATCAGGAAGCACTGACCGCTCAACGAGAATAGTTCAGAATCGGAATAAAAATCGTTAAAAGTGTATCCAAAAATAATCATTGAACAGTTAATCATTTTATTTATAAATTTACTGACTTATTCATCAAAATATCTACTGAAATAAAAAATACTGATAAATTCGGCAAAACAAATGTAAACAAATGAATTACTGAAAAAGACAGCAATTATTTAACAAACTTACACCGAAGACAACACATCAAGAAGACTGGCGACTATTTTCTCATACGAACACTATAACAGGTACAATCGCGTCATCTGCCGCTCAAAGGTAAATGCTTTGAACGAATTTGTTAGCAAAAACTACATCCTCAGAAGAAAGGCTAAAACTGTAATTTCTGGCATTTCAGAGATTTTGTGATTTACGGAGTTTTCAGTTAAATAAAAAAAAGTACTGAAAACTCAGCTGTTTGAAAACCCAGTACAATTTTACCAACTTCGGTAATCTAAACTCTGTGTCTGCACCACACTCTATCCCGAGGGGACGACTCTATCTACGCTGCAGGAAAGATTGTGTTTTGCTGTGGCTAGCAGCTCACACGCTGAGTAGATAGAAAGACGATTGATGACGATTCTGAAGATTTCCTACCAAAAGATGATGCGCGATGCAAGTAGATGCGAGAAATGCAAGAAGATTTTTCGAAGAATGATTCGCTAGTGTGAGATTTTTGAGCATCTAAAATTGAGATTTAGATGTGTCACCCCCCTCGCTCTATCCAGCTTTCCCTGCTCGATAATGGCGGCCTTTTTGTATGAATAAATGTATCCTTCACTGTGCTTTTTGACACTATGTTATCCTATGTTCTTTCATTTTCTTCTGTTCCTGAGAGAGAGAGAAAGGGAGGGGTCAAAACCCGAACCTCCAAATAGCACAATGAAGGATACATTTTTATTCATACAAACAGGCCGCCATTACACAGCAAAAAAAGTTGTTGAATATTACATCGAAACTGCTGCAACCAGGTCAACCCATCGGTTCTGTAATATCACATTGTACGATGTACATCGATTTTGCGAACAAAATTACATCCATTGATGTAATATTGTATCTGCTGTTTGCTATAACATCATTATTTCATACATCAGCTTGAATTACGTTGATCGATATTACATTTTTTTTTGCTGTGTACCCGATGTCAATTATACAAGGTCTGGCCTAACTGGCTTATTGGTATTAGTGAAATGTGGAAATGTTTATTGGTGTTCGTATTTCATCACAACCCTAATAAAAAATAACCATAAACGAACGATAACCCAAATCATTGAACTATTCCACAAATGGTTTGGATGATACCCAGAACCGTCGTTAAGCAAATTAACCATACAATTTTTATTAGGGAATGTTTATCTTTTTACAAGAAACAGCTGTTTTCTGTGACAACACGTCTGCTATTCGCAATATGGAATGTTGTGCTGCCGTGACATCGTCATTCGCTTGCTCAGCAACGTTTACAACATTTTTGCTTCTGAAACACCAGCAAGCTGCCTGTTGTTCCAGACCTTGTATGATTGACATCGGCCATTACCGGGCATCTCAAGCTAGAGTGGGTGTATAATGAGTCACGCCAAGAGTGAAGCCAAGTCTACCTATTTAGCTGTCAGACCGGCTAACTATCGTGCAGAGTAAACAAACATTACGATGCTATGAAAGGTCCGCGAAAGGTATTGCAATAAAATATAAAATATAATCGAAGAAATGATCATAAACTCGCAGTGAGCAATAAATTGTCATGGGATACACTCAAAAATATTACAAAACGAATATAGATTAAATTTTATCCATTTTATGGTTATTCAAAATTTATACTTTGGTTCGATTAAAATTTTCGTCAAAATTATACTAAGTCCGAATAACGGAGTGGAATTCGATCAGTGTTTACTAAAATGACAGGAATAAGAACATCTGGATTCCCTTCGGAGCTTCGTGCTGGTGAAGGGCTTTGTCCCAGCGGATTTCTACTGCGCCTGTAATCTGCTGGGCAGCATCGAAATTGTAAGTATTTTTTTAAATATTATTAATAAAAAATAAACTAATGAAAAAAGCTACCTGAGACAATTTTTATTTTCATTTGAAAACAATAATATTTACCATAAATGAAATAAAGAAGCGAAAAATACATTCTCTTGAATAAACTGTATCTATGCATTGTGAGTATATTTCGATTTTATACTATGGCACGCATAAACCATTTTTATACTAACTTTGCATTCTCTCCCTTTATACCGACCTTTGCGTCGGTACGGAGAGTTGCTATTTAGCGTAACTTTTATACTATTTAGATTTCAATATTTTTTGAGTGTACGTTTGGTAATGATCACTTATGAGAATTTCTACTATTTTTGGTTGAGATAATTTGACTAAATCACTGATATAATGATTTACTGCAGCCGCTATTTTTTTCTCGCTAGAAGTCATTTGAAGTTGATGTAGAAGTCCTCTGTTGCCAAGTGAAAAGAAAGGGAATCTTTCGAAAACCGTGACTCATTATACACCGACTCTATCCCAAGCATGGAAAGCTGGATTTACGCACAGTTTTGTGTGATTGCCCATTAGAAAACATCAGAATCCCACTCCAGCAACTACACCCCTGTCGTTTTGTTGATGTTGCTTTTTGACGGATTCTTTTTTGTTTTCTTCGTTGACAGTCGTCATCGTTCTGTCATCCGATAATCACGTCATCGATTTTTCATGGTCAGTCGCCAGAACAGCAGCATCAAGAGTCGTTTCGAAAATATTCTCCTTGGCAGATGCATTAAAATTGGCGATTTGTCTTGCAATTTCTGGTTCTTTTTGTGCGTAAAATTATAGTGATTCAACGATGGCTTCATGGGAGCTGCACGATGATATGAACTTGTAAGTAAATATGATGGTAGAAGTTTTTTTTTAATTTTGTTGTAAATCAAAAGTGTACACGGTCAAAGTTCGCCTTGCAAAAAGTGGTTCACAATTTGCTGTCGTCCTAGTTTGTTCTAATAATTCCTATTGATTACAGTTACATCACAGCTGATAAGTTCTACATCGAACCTAATGGGAAAAGCGAGGTGCTGATAATCGATCGAATCAGTCGGGAAACGTCTCTTCAGGGTAATGCCCTCTCGTAGCATACATTAAATGCCAAAGTAATTATCGATTTTTCCGTCTCTTGTCTCGTCGCAGTCAAAACCAATCAGCTCCCGCAGGGCATCCAGATACGCAAGATATGCGGCATCCTGGGGGTGATCAAGCTGATCAGTGGCTTCCACTTGGTCGTGATGACCCACCGGATATTCGTCGGGATCGTCAATTCGCAAGTCATCTGGCGGTTGGCCGGATTCGACATCATACCCTTCGTTCCGTCCCTGACGCATTTGAGTGAGACGCAGGTAACATAATTTGTGTGGGTGGTAGTGTGATGGAGCATGAATGAAAATGTTCTCATTATTTTTTACAGAAAGTGCAAAACAATGTCTACCTTGCCATGATCCGGCAAGTACTGGACACTCCGTATTACTACTTTTCGTACACGTACGATATCACGCATACGCTGCAGCGGTTACACTCGATGCCACCGGATTTCATGCAGACGGGACTGTATGAACGGGCGGATTCCCGGTTCGTTTGGAATGGGTATCTGTTGAAGCACTTCCATCGGCCAGAACTGCGGCAGTATAGTCTACCGCTCATTCTGGGATGTAAGTATATGTGGCATTGAGTGTTTCTCAGGGAAATATTGTCTATATCGAATTCATTTCACAGTCGTTTCCGTGAATGATGTCATGGTGCACAGCCATAACTTCCAGTGGATTCTGATATCTCGTCGCTCGGTTCATCGGGCAGGAACTCGTCTGTTCTGTCGAGGTATTGATCAATCTGGTAACGTATCGAACTACGTGGAAACCGAACAAATTATCGACGTCCGCGGGGATAAGGTTTCGTTCGTTCAAACACGTGGAAGTATTCCTCTGTTCTGGCGGCAGACACCCAATCTTAAGTACAAGCCCCCACCGGAGTTGGTAGCCGGAAGGGATCATCTGATAGCTTGTTCCAAGCATCTGGATGCTCAGCTGATTCATTACGGTCGACAAGTGTTGGTCAATTTGATTGATCATCGCGGAGCGGAAGATGTCCTGGAGAAAGCCTTCGCCACAACGATTTCTACTCTGGGCAATCAGAGTGTGCGATACGAGTCGTACGATTTCCATGCCGAGTGCCGGAAGATGCGCTACGATCGGCTGCATAATTTGATCGCTAGATTGGCTCACGAGCAGGACGAATTTGGTGTATTCCACCTGAGAAGAGATGGAACTCTTCTTTCTTCTCAGGATGGCGTCTTCCGCACCAACTGCATCGATTGTCTGGATCGTACGAATGTGGTCCAAAGCATGTTGGCCAAGCGAAGCTTGGAACAATGTCTCGTGAAGCTAGGCGTTCTAACAACTGGTCAGCGAATTGATCCGAGTTCGACCTTCGAGTGGTTGTTCAAAAACGTATGGGCCGACAATGCCGACATGATTTCCACCCAGTACTCGGGCACGGGTGCGCTCAAGACAGATTTCACTCGCACTGGCAAGCGCACCAAAATGGGTCTGCTCAACGACGGCGCAAACTCCCTAACTCGTTACTATAAGAATAACTTTAACGATGGCTTCCGACAGGATGCTATTGAACTGTTCCTGGGAAGTTACGTCGTACAGGATGGCGAAGGCCTTACCGTTCACTGTCCGCTGGTGATTCAGAAGGGGTGGAAATATGGAACAGTAAGTTCTCTGCTCGTTATCTAATAACTCATTAATAGGAAGTAATCTCAAATTCGAAAATTTCAGTTCCCAGTGGTGCTGCTGTTTGCATTCGCCATGTTCTTCACGTCGGCCGTATACCCGCAGGAGTACAATACGGAAAATCTGCTCTTCATTCTGTTCTGGGGCTCGATGGTTGGCCTCACCGGTGCCGGCATTCTCAAGTACGGCGTAGAGTTTGTCGACTGGCCCAAGCTGGTTCCCGCGACACGATCCAGCAAGATGGAACCCTGACGGCACTGGTAATTTTCTGTTTCATTACTGTTAAGTTGTTTATTCTATGCGACCAGGTGGATTGTTTTAATTTCCCTTTCTTAACACTGTGTACAGTACTTTGGATAAGTATATGATTGTATATGTTAGGTCCAGTGGTTCCAGTTGCTAAATTCTAGTGCACGCTTTTAACATCCTTCTCCCTCCCTTTTTCCATGTTTCTGAAAACTACTTAGAGAACGTTGAGAAGGTATTTCCAAATGACGGTCACAATAAAATTCTAGGCATTCTTTAACTACGTGTCCACTTGACTCACTCTGGATGTGAATGAAAGAACTTCCAGGCTGGTGCCAGGGTCTCTAAGATTTGATATCTGTCTGTCGTTGCCGTTTGTAGCAACAATCTGGTGACGATGAGAGTTGAAATAAACAATGGCAACTTTGTGAAACTACTGAACGTGAAAGTTCTAGAGATGCATATGTAGCTTATAGGTTTGAAGAGGAACGATTCACTTTAATTCAAGTGGATTTAATTAAGTTCTATAGTTAGAACAAGACATGAAAGGGGCATTTTACATTGCCAATGAGAGTAACTCAAAATTGAGTCGAATTTGTTTCAACATTGCAAAAAGTGGGGTTACGATTTTCCGCACTTTTCCGGGAGAACTGCTCGAATATGAGGAAAATCGACCAACATTTTTCTCAGTCTAGTAAACAGTAAGTTTTGTAACAGTAAGAAAGTTCTTATCGTATAGTGTTCCTTCACTTTTGTGTTATGATATCACAGACAAACAGACGTAACTCTTTGGATAAAACGCTCTCGCATATTTTGGCTTACGTCATTGAGCGACACGTTCCGCAAAAAGTTCCTAAACAAGGTAATCATCATCCTTGACAAACAAGTGACCTCCGTATGTTAAAGTCTTCCAAAAGAGCCGCGCTAAGAAATTACAACTCAAGGACCATTATGCGAGAATCAATCATGCGTATCAACGAACCAGTCGCCAATGTTATCGGCGTTATCAACGAGATGTTCAACGGAAGCTTCGATTTCACCCGAAAACTTTTTGGAATTATGTGAATGAGCAACGAAAGGAGTCTGGCCTTCCATCGACTATGGAACTGAACGGCGAAGAAGCTTCATCCCCTCAGGACATTTGCCGTCTGTTCTCAACCAAGTTTGCGAGTGTATTCTCGGATGAGAACCTACCTGACGAGCACGTTTATCTAGTAATGTTCCAATGTCTGGTCAATCTTTCGCAGCTATCAACATCGACCTTGCTAACTAGTGCGGCTTCGCAACTGAAGGCTTCATTTAAACCTGGACCTGACGGAGGTCCTTCCGTCTTTCTCAAGCAACACATCGATAGCCTGGTGGCTCCTCTCTGCCTTCTGTTCAAAATGTCCCTCTCCAGTGGGGTGTTTCCTTCCTGCTGGAAATCAGCTGAGATGTTTCCAGTGCATAAGAAGGGATGCAAAAGAAACATCGACAACTATCGCGGCATCACCTCGTTGTGTGCCATATCTAAAGTGTTCAAGTTGGTCGTTATGGAACCATTAGTCTCTCACTTCAAGCAGCACTTGAGCGAAGACCAGCATGTTTTCATGGCAGGGCGGTCGACTACTTCCAACCTTCTGTGTCTCACCTCGTACATTACGGAGAGTATGACAGACCATATGCACACAGATGTCATTTACACTGACCTATCAGCCTCCTTCGACAAGTTGAACCATCCTATAGCGATTGCCAAACTGGATAGGCTCGGTATAAACGGCAGTCTCGTACGATGGTTCGCATCCTATCTATCTGATCGTCAGTTGGAAGTTGCAATCGACGACTGCCAATCTCCTTCGTTCCCTGCCACTTCGGGTATTCCGCAAGGTAGCCACCTCGGCCCGTTGATATTTCTTGTGCATTTCAACGACGTCAATTTCGTCCTCGACTTTCGTTCACAAACGACATGAAAATCTATCTCCGAATCCGAGCCATCGCTGACTGCCACCTTCTACAACTCCAACTCAACGCTTTTGCTAATTGGTGCCAACTGAACCGCATGGTTGTAAATCCAACAAAATGTTCACGTTCTCACGGAAGAAACATCCAATTTCATTCAGTTATATCCTAGAAGGCGTTGACGTACATCGTATGAATCACATTAAGGATCTGGGAGTCATCTTAGATTGTCAACTCACATACAGCCAGCATATCTCGTACGTGATCGACAAGGCATCCAGAACGCTCGGCTTCATTTTCAGGATAGCTAAAAGTTTCACGGACATCTACTGTTTGAAGTCGCTTTACTGCTCCCTCGTCCGGTCGGTGTTAGAATACTGCTGCCCTGTATGGAATTCCAATTACCAAAACAGTGTTCAAAGAGTAGAGTCTATTCAACGACGATTCATCTGGTTTGCCCTTGGACGATTGCCTTGGAGGGATCCTCATCGCCTACCAAGCTACGAAAGTCGGTGCCAGTTAATTCACCTGGATTCTTTGTGGAGTCGAAGAGATACGACAAGGGCCCTGTTTGTGGCAGATATTCTACAGGGCAGAATCGATTGTCCTTCTATTCTACAACAAATCGACGTTAACTTTCAACCACGAGCACTCCGTAACAACGCAATGCTGATGATACCTTTTTGTCGTACAAACTATAGTTCGTATGGTGCTATCAATGGGCTACAAAGGGTTTTTAATCGTGTTGGTTCCTTATTTGATTTTCACTTGGCACGCGAGGCGCTGCGTCAGAGATTCCGTGATATATTTTTTAAAATTAGGAATTAAGTAGGACTTCACGACCTTTGCAGCTTGTTACTTCTTGACTATATTGTATTTCCCAGTATTGCTTTAGGACTAATCTCAGTCTGTTGATGTGGAACCAAATAAACAAATAAACAATTGTTTCTTGAAAACATTGTACCTCAATAAATAGGACCTAGGATTGAACCCAGACCTGCTGGGGTGAGATGTAATCACGCTTACCACTACACCACCGCTTACCGCCGGGATGTTCTTCGGAAGGGAAGTAAAGCCGTTGATCCCCGGTTCATGAGTTGATGGGTCGAAAGGTAGGGTCCAAGTGTGGGAGCTGCCTCCCTGGCGTCGGTAGCATTGGTGCTCAGCACGGAAAACAAATCAAGGAAAAAAATAGAACCTAGTAACGACATTCAGACTCTTTAGTCTCGAGCTAGCTCAAACCTAAGAGGAAGAAGAGACAACAGACTTCTTTTTGTCTGTGACATGTTCTTCTTCTCTCGCGGAAACGACCGTCTAAAAACTATTTCATTATGAGCGACGCAGTCGATTGTCAAAATTCAAGAAAATTGATTCCCTGTTGTAAAAATTCACGCGTTTCTATACGTTCGCCCTGACAGTAGACTCTTTTCAGCTTCTGTATACGATCAGCAAACAGCAGAATAAATTACAAAGATATTAAACAAGGACAAGTTGGCAGGTCAATAACTTATAAGATCAGTCTAGCTAAAAATTTAGAAGTTGAGGAAACTTCTAGAATCAATCAAAATCAGATTCACTTTTCAAATTTTTTTTATTGAACGAAGTAACGCTACTTTCATTTTACAGAATGAAAAAAAAAATAAACTTAACCGTGTTAATTCATTTCGTTTTAAATCCGAAAATACATTTTAGCATTTCTAGAATAGATATACTGCCGCTATTCGTTTAACAGTCCCATGTGAACAGGAAATCCATAAGACTTGGGACTGTTATGCGAATAGCGGCAGTATGGGCCACATTGTCTCCTAAATTGAAATTCGTCGACCCTGCTTGCCCACCTTTTTGCGCCGTTCACCTCCGTCGATCGATTTGTTGAGCCCTTGCTTCCGTGGCTTGTTCTTCGGTTTCTTCTCGTCCTCACCGGCTTCGACGTCTTCTTCTTCCCAAACTCCGCTCATATTGGCCTTCACTTTCTTGGTCTTCTGCAGCTGTTGACTAACCTTCGGGGACAGCGATATGTTCTCAATCGAATGAACGTTCTTGATCTTCTTCAGTGCTGCAGTAGCGGTGCTTCCCTCGGGAACTAACTGTAGCTTTCGCTTGTTTTTCTTCGACGTGTTCGGTACCATCTGGCTTGCCTCCTGCACGGGATCTTCGAGCTCAACCGTGACCCTTCCAACGGCGTGAATGTTCTTCAACGTCTGTCGCAGTTCGTTCTTGTTGTCCTCCGGCTGTTGCAGGTACTTGTGTAGTCCCAGTTTGTCCGCATCCGTCAAGACCATACAAGTAGGTCTACAGCCAATGTTCGTTGTGCACATCTCGTTAAAATCATTGCCATCAATCTTCCACAGACTGATATCTCCCGAACTGGATGCCGTCGCCAGGTGATTTCCAAGGAATGCCAACGCTTTCAGTCGAGACTCGTAAATCCGAATCTTTTCAGGTTCATCTTCCTCCTCCACGTCGAACATCAGTAAATGACCATCGTCCAGGCCGACGGTAAGTTCCGTTTCGGAAATCCAACAAAGTGAAACAGGTTTGCACGAACACTGAACCGTCCGGGAAGATTTGGTTGTATCCACTGAAATTACATCCACCACTCGTTGACCCATTAGAGCAAAGTACTGGCCGTCCGGGCTCCATTCGACAAGCGCCAGTTGACCGTTGTACTTGGGATCGTTGCGAAGTCCTCGTGTGTAAAGAGTTCTACCGCTCACCAGGTCCCAAGTCTTTAGGTTCATGTCTGAGCCCAGCGTAAGTGCTATGCTACTTTGTGGGTGAATGGCAAAGCTCAGTACCGAGCCACGGTGGGCATTCGACCAGGTCTTATCGATCGCCAGGCGCTTGGTGTTGATCGCCGATACCTTTCCGTCGTTACTACCGCTGAACAGGTAATCTCCCTTCGGGGAGAATGTCAGACAGTTGACGGTGCCGTTGTGGTGGAGCATTTCGTCCTTAAGCAGACCGCTTTCCAGGTCGAAAATGCAAATCCGATCGTCCGACCCGCCGGATGCTAGGTATTTACCGTGGGTGGCCAGTACCCGTACCGATGCCGTGTGGTTGTGAGTGGAGAAGATTTCCTTCAGGTAGAATCGTGAAGAATCCTGCGGAGGGATGTTCGGTTGGATTAGAGTTTCGAGCGTGGGGTTTTTTAACTAGCTTACCGTTTTCAGTGGCTCAACCTTGTAGCCTACGGTGTACTCCTCGTAGGTACCGACAATTATCTCCAGCCCAGCCATTATGTTGTGGGTTTTCACTGTAGGATAACAACGTTATTGCAATATTTTTACTCACAGAAATTAAATTTAAAAAACACCGAGTACAGCATGCTCGCGGTAGACCGAGTAGCACACGTTATTTTTGTTTTGACGTTTATTCCCAAAAACAGCCAGAGAGCTCGAAAGCCGCGGAGTGCACGTTTGTTTTGATAGGGCTCACGAAACCGGGTTAAATGGATAATAAAGTGTAACAGTGGCTGACATTAATCAACATTCCTGACCCCCGCATCAGTTTTAACGAAACTTCAAACCATAGTCTGTTTCGTACCCAGAAGCATCCACATATGTCAAACTCAGTTTTTCTGCTCCGCAAAGCGTAAAAGATCCATTCCCGTTTTCAGTGCTAGTGTGAATTTGGTGCGAAAGTTTTTTCAAAAGTAATCCACAAAAATGGTAGGTATTCTATTGGAAAAATGTTGATCTTTCTAGTTTAGAATCATACTTTTGGAAAAAAGTTAAGTTTTGACTCAAATATCCGTTTTTCTCGATGAAATTCGTCTTTAACTTTACCGGGTGTCATCCGGCATAAGGCAACCACACGTGAGAATTTGCATCGTCTAGTACCTAGTAGTAGTGAGCAGACGGTCTCACCCACGGTTTTCTCCCATAATGCCCGACCGTTCTGGATGTTTCCTTGAAGAACGCATTTTTTTTAGCATATTTTGAGAATTTTTTCAATGAATCACACAAAACTGATGAAGTTCATTCGATTTGGCGAATTACTTCCGTAAACTGCCTTGATTCCGAGTCAGAAAACAGAAAGTAACTGTTCTTTGTTTACTAGAGTTGAGGTTAGGGTTGCAATCCAATCGATGCGATGACTAATCTGCCCACTGCCCATTTTTAGGTCTCACTGAACCCGGTCCGTATTCTGAAGAATGAAGCCGAGGAGGAGAAGGGCGAAATCGCTCGGCTGTCGTCGTTCGTGGGTGCAATCGCCATTGGCGATCTGGTTAAGAGCACACTCGGTCCCAAGGGAATGGACAAAATCTTGGTCGCCCACGGGCGCAGTGCCGGACAGGTTGAGGTCACCAACGATGGGGCCACCATTCTGAAAGCGGTCGGTGTGGACAATCCCGCTGCAAAGATTCTGGTCGACATGAGCCGCGTCCAGGACGATGAAGTTGGCGATGGAACCACATCGGTTACAGTGCTAGCCTCGGAATTGCTGCGGGAAGCAGAAAAACTGATCGAACAAAAATTGCACCCCCAGACCATCATTGCCGGTTGGCGTGCGGCTACACAAGCTGCCAGATCTGCTCTGATTGCTGCGGCACAGGACAATTCTCAGAACGCGGAAAAGTTCCGGGAGGATTTGATGAACATTGCTCGTACTACGTTGAGCTCGAAGATTCTGTCACAGCACAAGGAGTACTTTGCCAAGCTGGCCGTTGATGCCGTGATGCGTCTGAAGGGATCCGGTGAGATGACAGCCATTCAGCTGATCAAGAAAACCGGTGGAACCTTGGAAGAGTCCTTCCTGGATGAAGGTTTTCTGCTGGATAAGAAGCCGGGTGTGCATCAACCGAAGCGCGTTGAAAATGCCAAGATCCTGATCGCCAACACTCCCATGGATACGGACAAAATCAAGGTGTTCGGTTCCAGCATCAAAGTCGATTCCATGGCCAAGATTGCCGATTTGGAGGTAAGTTCGACACGGTTATAAGCTAAGAAAATCCATTAAATTCGCATTCCGCCTTACAGGTCGCCGAAAAGGAGAAGATGAAGGACAAGGTCAACAAGATCCTCGGCCATGAGTGCAATGTGTTCATCAACCGTCAGCTGATCTACAACTACCCGGAACAGTTGTTCGCCGACGCCGGTGTAATGGCCATCGAGCATGCCGATTTCGATGGAATCGAACGGCTGGCTCTGGTCACCGGAGGTGAAATCGTGTCCACTTTCGACAATCCGGATTTGGTCAAACTGGGTCGTTGCGATCTGATCGAGCAGATTATGATTGGCGAGGATACATTGCTGCGCTTCAGCGGAGTCCCGTTGGGAGAGGCTTGCACCATTGTGATCCGTGGAGCCACTCAACAGATCATCGACGAGGCGGAACGTTCGCTGCATGATGCTCTGTGCGTGTTGACCGCTACAGTGAAGGAGACTCGTGTTGTCTACGGAGGTGGTTGCTCGGAAACGTTGATGGCTGTGGCAGTTTACAAGCTGGCTGCCGAAACTGCCGGAAAGGAAGCAATGGCTATGGAGGCGTTTGGCCGTGCCTTGCTTCAGTTGCCGATTACGATCGCCGACAATGCCGGTTACGATTCGGCACAGTTAGTGTCGGAACTCCGTGCCGGACATTCACAGGGCAAAAACACTCTTGGGCTGAACATGTACGAGGGCAAGGTCGGCTGCATGAAGGAACTAGGAATCACTGAATCCTTTGCAGTGAAGCGACAAGTGCTGTTGTCCGCTTCGGAAGCCGCAGAGATGATTCTACGCGTGGACAATATTATCAAGTGCGCACCCAGAAGGCGTGTCCCAGACCGCGGATACTGCTAAACTACTCCTCACTTAGTTTCGTGTATTATCGCGCATTTTGTATCACTTACATTACAGTACTTTCCGCTGTTCCTGTATGTTTAATCATATTATATTCACTATCCATCCCAGCTTTATTTTTTGTTTCGTTAGAAAGCAGTCAAGAATAAAACGAATCGCGTTTTCTGCGCCTTAACTTATGCAAACGCCCACTCAATCATCCAATCTACACAACCAACATTGCTTACGGTTTTTGCTTTGCACTTGCAATCGGAGCGCTAGTCGTTTCTGGATTCTGAAGAAAACTAATACTTTACGACATAAATAAAGATCACTCAACCAATAAAGAAAAATGGTGCTATTAGTCAATCCGAAATGACATTCCACGCACTGCAAAACCCGCAGTGGTAGGGGTAAACGGGGCAAGATGAGCACCCTAGCCGCTTGCTGAACTTGGAGAACTAGTCCAAATGATCATCCTCAACAACTGACGAATGGTCTATGGTCTGTCGGAGATGCAGTTCGGATTCCGAAAAGGAAGAACCACCGTGGACGCAATCTGGACAGTGACAGTGCACGTGGGGAAACCGCACAGTGATCGGAGAAGTCGAAATCATGGCATTAATTAATAACTAGTCAGGGTTGCGTAATGGTAGTATAGCCGTCCTTATTTTGCGAATCACGTGACTCTCTGTCACCGGTGAGGTGACTCTCCGCGCAAATCAAATGGAGAGTCACCTCACACGAGGTGACAATTGTCACCATACCAGTGACAGAGATTCACGTGACTCGCAGAATAGGGTGAGTGTCTTCCGAATAGTTGATCCTTAATACCTAGGCCTTCATGTGGTAACATCAAAGTAGTTCGAAACTCTGTCGCTAGGGTGGTGCTTTTTCTATATTTTTAATAAAGCATGATAGCAGGATGGTGTCTTCGGCAAGTTTTTAGACAACATCATTCTGAGCAACTCTACTTAAGGTGCTAGCTTTGTAAGTCCTTTACTGCCCATAGTCGCAAGTCAGTCCCATCAGTAAAAAACTGGAAATGAGAAAACGGCGTTCAAAGATTTCACAAGTTTTCTGAATTTATGCACCTATGTTTACTAAAAATTATTTTAAAAATATCGTGAAATTTTTTATTTAATGACAAAAATCTGAGTAGGACTGACTTGCGATTACATTTAAAGACGATTGCAACTGTCAAATCGACCAATCAGAAACTGGCTCGGATTTGACAGCAAATTGGCTCGAAATCGCTACCCAATTGTCAAGTCCCGTCCCAGACTGGAAAGCATAGGCGTTGCCAGAGGCGGGGAAGGGGGGGGGGGGCGGCAATTTTCGCGATTCGGCAGATTCTGCAGAAATGCCGCGAACACAACGTGCCCACTCATCATTTGTTCATCGATTTCAAATCCGCATACGACACAATCGTTCGAGATCAGCTATGGCAGATTATGCACGAGTATGGATTTCCGGATAAACTGACGCGATTGGTGAAGGTGACGATGGATCGAGTGATGTGCGTTGTTCGAGCATCGAGGACACTCTCGAGTCCCTTTGAATCTCGAAGGAGGCTACGACAAAGTGATGGACTTTCGTGTCTGCTATTCAACATCGTGTTAGAAGGTGTGATCAGAAGAGCTAGGATAGTTACGAGTGGCACGATCTTCAGGAAGTCCATCCAGCTTCTTGGCTTCGCCGATGACATCGACATCATGGCACGGAACTGTGAGACGATGGCGGAAACGTACATCAGACTGAAGGCTGAAGCTAGGCGGATTGGACTTGCCATCAACGCATCAAAGACAAAATACATGAAAGAAAGAGGTTCTAGGGAAGACAATGTTAGCATCCCACCCCGCGTTCAGATTGACGGTGACGAAATCGAGGTGGTCGATGAGTTCGTGTATTTGGGCTCACTGGTGACCGCCGGAAATGATACCAGCAGAGAAATTCAAAGACGCATTATGGCAGGAAATCGTGCCTACTTTGGACTCCGGAGGACGCTCCGGTTGAATAAAATTCGCCGCCGCCCGAAGTTGACTGTCTACAAGACGCTCTACGGCCACGAGACCTGGACTATGCTCGTGGAGGACCAACGCACCCTTGGTGTTTTCGAACGGAAGGTGTTGCGTACCATCTACGGTGGATTGCAGATGGATGACGGAACGGGGAGGAGGCGAATGAACCACGAATTGCACCAGCTGCTGAGAGAACCATCCATCGTCTACATTGCAAAAATTGGCTACGGTGGGTTGGGCACGTCGTAAGAATGCCGCACGACGACCCAGTAAAAATGGTTCTAGAAAGCGACCCAACAGGAACAAGAAGAAGAGGCGCGCAGCAGGCAAGGTGGATCGACCAAGTAGAAGGCAACTTGCGGACCCTTCGCAGACTACGAGACTGGCGAAGTGTGGCCATGGATCGAGTAGAGTGGAGACGACTTCTTCGGACAGCAGAGGACAACAAGGCCTAAGCCTGATTGGTAAGTAAGTAGCTCGAAACCTGGCTACGCCCTTGCTGGTAGGCGTACGTTGTTCCATTTTCTTCTGTTCATGGATTCACGCACTGGATTCACCCGAATCTTCCTTTTGATAGCAGCGATAACCCTCGGGTCAAAATCCGAACCTCCGATAGTGTCAAAAAGCACTTTGAAGGATACATTGTTTGTATGAATATGGCCACCATTACCGAACATGGAAAGCTGGATAGTATCTATAGTAGTGACTGGTAGAATGCAGATGAAGAATTTTCTAACACTCACATACACTAGAGTCGGTGTATAATGAGTCACGCCAAGAGAAAAACAGTTGAACTCGCATCACGGTTTTCGAAAGATTCCCTTTCTTTTCACTTGGCAACAGAGGACTGCTACATCACCTTCAAATGACTTCTAGCGAGCAAAAAAAATAGCGGCTGTTGTAAATCATTCTATCAGTGATTTTGTCCAATCATCTTAACAAAAAATAGTAGAAATTCTCATTACTGATCGTTACCAAACGTATCCCATGACAATTTAATGCTCACTGCGTGTTTATGATCATTTCTTCGATTATATTTTATATTTTATTGCGATACCTTTCGTGGACTTTTCATAGCATCGTAATGTTTGTTTACTTTGCACGATAGGTAGCCAGTTTGACAGTCCAATAGGTAGACTTGGCTTCACTCTTGGCGTGACTCATTATACACCGACTCTAACATACACTAATAAAAATTCAATGATTATTTTTATGTGTCCCACACATGAATTTTTGCAATGTGATAAACAAATGATATATATGTGTCGGACACATACTTCTTATGTGTAAACATAAAATTCATGTGTAACCACACATACTATTCATTTGACATGAAAATCATGTGGAATTTTACCGAGAATTTTACATAGAAATTCGCCGCTAAAAATGTGTCGAATTTTATGAGTGTAGTTATGGTTCTAAATTACGTTTTCAAAGTCAACAGGTATCAACAGGTAAAAAGTGAGGTTACTAGACGCCACTGGTATCCTTCCTAGCTTCAGTATACCGTATGCGTGATAATGTTTGCACCATCAAAATTAAAAAAATTCTCAATAATTTCGTTTTCGAGTTTTTTATTTATTCAAATGGGGGATGTTTCTCAGAGTCTTAAACTATGTTAATCATCGATCGAGTTTCCACTTGCTGCAATTACGGCCTCCACACGCTTCCGGAATGCACGGCAGGTTCTAATAATGTAGTAATAATGTCCATTTCTCTCCAGGTACGGGTCAATGTTTGTCTGAGGCTTGCTGTACTCGAGTGGCGTTTCGAACAAGCCTTGGCCTTCATGACGCGCCATATTGAGTAATCCAGCGGATTAACATCGGGGCTCGATGGCGGCCACATATCCTTCGCGTAGAACGGAAGATGTTCCTGCAACCACTTCTGAGTGCGGTTCGAGGTGTGGCACGGAGCCCCATCTTGTTGAAATACAACATTTGGCTTCGGACCGTACTGTTCTTTGATCCACGAAAGAACATACTTACTTAAAATCCCGATGTAGACCTCCGTGTTGCCCTTGTCGCCTTCTGGAATGAACACCGGGTCCATTTTTTGCCATCGGAAGCCACCAATCCAAACACCATAACGCTAGTAGGATGCTTGGTCAGATACACGTGCTTGTGCTCGTCGGCCACGTCTTTTACCGGAAGAGAACTAATATACCGGTCGGTTCTGGAATTTGATACGGGATCGACGGTAAACATGCTGTCGTCGGTGAACAGGATAACCGGATTTTTCCGCTTAAGGAAGTTCAAGATTTTCTTGCATTATTCGACTTGTAGCACCCGGATGCGGTTGGTAATCATGTGAGTTTTTTTTTCCCGTGCCCTCGACTTCGCCCGCAATCTTCCTTCACGATCTTCCGTGCCGTAAAGTCACTGATCCCGTGTTCCTTTGCCATTTTCCTTATTGAACGCACTGGATTCACCCGAATCTTCCTTTTGATAGCAGCGATAACCCTCGGAACCCGAGCTGACCTCGGACGACCTGTGGCCACCTTCGCGGATAGTTGTCTTTTCTTTTCTCGGTCTAAAACCCTTTTGACGGTCCACCGGGACACTCCCACGGCGATTGAAATGTCTTTTTGCGACATTTGCGCGTGGGACAAATCACGAATACGCTGCCACTTCGTCATGGTGCAACCATAGAGGTAACTCTAAGACCAGAAGGTCCCGAAGAAACGAGCTCAACTTTTTGGCTCAGCTCTGGCACTTTCTTCGGTCCCAAGCTAATCGATTCACCCCTCGAAACATAGGAAAAACCAATAACCCCTCATTTTATCTGTCAAACTTTCATAGCAAATCAAAACAAACATTGAGTAGTACTAGAATTTCGACTAGAATGGGGTACGTTAATCGTTTGCTTGGGACCAATAGGCTAGTCAAGTAGTGAGCCAATTTTAAATCGTTAGTTTCGTATTGATTGTTGGTGCAACTGTCAAACTATTTGACTTTAAATCAGGCATAACATTTGATAACGGCACAAAAGCATTTGTAAACAAACTTTCTAAGACCCTTTACACGTGAACCAAAGTACACCCACGCAAACCAACAACAAACCAACAAAGTGGTATTGGTTGGCGGTGGGCGTACTTTGGTTCGCGTGTAAAGGGTCTTAGAAAGTTTGTTTACAAATGTTTTTGTGCCGTTATCAAATGTTATGCCTGAAATGATCTTTATTTCTTGTATTGTGTGGTTTACATGTATAACTTATCAAGTGACACAGATGCGTCTTTTCAACTTTAGTTCATTTGAAATTTCAATTATTATTAATTACAGTTCC